AACTTTATTAAAGTTAAAGTTGAAAGTTGAAAATTTTTGTCAAAAACCACATAAAATTAAACAGGGCAAGCTAAAAAATATTTTCGATTTTTCACTGTACTTTAATTAAAGTTAAAGTAATAAAGTAAAATACTTTAACTTTGAACTTAAAGTTAAAGTATTTTACTTTAACTTTAATTTTGAAAGTAAAGTTAAAGTGCCACCCCTACATCTGACGAGACCCTTGAATAAGGTCGAAACCGGTAGATTGGATCAAATAACATGACGCAAAAGCTGGAAACATCTAGAGAAGATAAATAACAAGAACAAACATAACTGACTTTAGGCGACTATGGACCATATTCACGTCTATAAAATCAAGGTAAATGAAATAAGATTCAAAAACTGAAAAAAACAGATGAACAACCTAATCCTTGCACATATTACCGACGGCGTAGATCCATTCATATATGAGATGATCCTAAAACTCAGAGTGGTATTCAACCAAAATCCTCAGACGGGATATTGGAAGATGTAGGTTCGAGTCCTGCTTTGATTTTATGATCTTTTTCGATAAGTTTTTCGTACTTATCTGAGCATATCGCTGTGGATACTTCAAATGAGTTCGATTAGATTGTTTCGTGGACATATGAAAAGATTTCTAACTGAAGTTTCTTTTTAATCCTATTTTCAAACTCACCCTCACCCTCATTTTTTGGACGAGATGGAGAAGAAATATCACTTGAATTCGAGGATGGAAGATCAATGTCGATCATTTTTATACGAACGATAATCAATAAATCTAATATGAAATAATGAAGACAGAAAAAAGATAATAATTTAATGTAAAAAGATGAGAAGAAAGAGCATAAAACGTGGATCTGGCATTGGTTGACATTTTCCGTCAATTATAAGACAAAAAGACTGTTCGATGCATGGTGACATCTGTATTTAACTCTATTTCTTAAGCCGAAACCATCGCATTTTTACTAAATCAATCTCTATAAAAAAATGAATCAGACAGGCCATGCGGCCTGACGTTTTCGCCTCGCCTGTCTGGCCTGTTTGGGGTCCTGGTATCTATTATTAGCTCGTATCTGTTTTCTTAGAACTTCATTGTATTTCATACTTCTTTTTATTCTACTCTTCTCGTACTACATGTTAGAAATGTTCGAAATATTCTCATCCTTTTTAAAGTATTTCACTTTCATTTAGCCACATGCATATCTATTCCAGATATAAATATCTCCTAATTGACAATACCCAACAACTCAGCCGTATAACTTATCAGTCAAAAGTGCAATCCCTCAGAACAGTTAATAACCTGCGCATATGTATTACAATACAATGGAATAATAATTTATACGACTTTCCTCATACATAAAAATTGGTTCAACCGACGAAAAATTGCATATCTCACATTCCAATGTTCTAACTAACAACAAGACACAAAACCACAGAGTAACTACTGGTAAACTAAAAGGTTATATCTACTATGTTCCTAATATATTTTATATATATTGACCTGAACCCCGCAAACACAACAAATCAACTTTCAACGAACGAAACTTACTTACGGACGATAAAACCAAGACACCATATAGCACACAAACAAACTTGAAAGATCCAAACTATTCACAAACAACTGCATTCACCTAACAGCATTCACTATATCTGAAGCCAGTCATCAGAGTTTCAATCACAGTTACATTACTACCATACAACTATATCTTCGTCTCTTCCTACCAGCGAATAAATCATTTATCTCTAACAACAACAACAGCAACACTACAAAAACAATCTTACATCCAGTGTAACAATCAAACACCTACGTACACTTACCTGCCATATGCCACATCAGTGCACCAAAACAAAAGAAACAGGAAGAAAGTATCGAACTCAATATCCTACCCGAAATCTAAAATGAATTCCAGTTGACAGGCTCACCCAACCAATCATTATTTCAACCATCTTTGAAAGAATTATATTTTTGTGGTAATTCTTTTCACACCCTCACCCACACCCTCATTATAATAGTTCGGTTAAAATTTGTTTTAGGAAGTTATCCCGAATTTTTCTAAATTCGAGATCATACGGTAACACTGTAACAAATGACTATTTTTTATAGCGCCATCTTTAATTATGCTCAACCTCGAAAATTAGAAGAAATTACGCGATGCAGCTGATGCAGGCGGCTTCAGTACGCTTACACATATAAGAAGGCGTTATTTTGACTCAAATCTGACAGTTTTTTTTAAGTTTTAAGAAATATTTGTTCAGTTAGAAATGAAAAAATATATTGCTGTGGAACCGTGGTAACTGGATGGTTAACCTCGGTTAATCGACAGTGCTAAAGCGGTTCGAGTAACATAAGATAACAGATAGTTATGCGAATCGTTAATTAAGATAAAATCCAGATTTTATTAGACAGCACACACGCGACACTTTAAAAACATGAAGCGAAATTTGCAAAACAAAAATACAAACAATATAAAGCTGACATGAAAGTTATTGTTCATTCCAAATTAATTACTATTTGATTTTTTATCCTTTCGACATCGACAAATACTAAAGGATTCTTTAAATTTTTTCATATATAAACTCGACGGTACGACAAAAATAACAAAGATAAATATCGACGGAGTAAATGAAAAGAAATAAGCAATAAGATATAACCAAATATTTTTTGATGTTCGTATACAACCAGGTAATGATGAAATAATTAAACGAGGCATTGTTAAAATAAGTAAAACGATTGGACTA